ATATCAGTAGATATAAAACCAGGGATATCCAATGTTGATGAAAATGTGAGAAAACAAACATGTACATTTCCTTTTTTTTGTATTTATATTTGTGGGGTTTTTTTTGGTATTTTGTTTGTATTAGTTATCTATTGCTGTGTAACAAATTACCTTCAAACATAGTGACTTAAAACAACAGATATTTATTATCTCAATTTCTGTGGTCCAGGGACCTGGGAGTGGATTAGCTGGATAGTTCTAACATAGTCTTTCATGAGGCTGCAGTCAAGGTGTCAGCAAGGGCTGCAGTCATCTGAGACTTTACTAAGATCAAAGATCTGCTTTTTTTTTTTTTTAATTTAAATTCAATTAGCCAGCATATAGTACATCATTAGTTTCAGATGTAGTTTCAGATGTAGAGTTCCATAATTTATCAGTTGCATATAACACCCAGTGCTCATCACAACACATGCCCTCCCTAATGCCCGTCACCCAATTACCCCATCCCCCCCCACCTCCCCTCCAGCAACCTTCAGTTTGTTTCCTATAGTTGAGTCTCTCATGGTTTGTCTGTCTCTGATTACTTCCCATTCAGTTTTCCCTCCCTTCCCCTATGATCCTCTGCACTCTTTCTTATATTCCACATATGAGTGAAACCATAAGATAATTGTCTTTCTCTGATTGACTTATTTCGCTCAGCATTATACCCTCCAATTCCATCCACGTTGATGTAAATGATAAGTATTCATCCTTTCTGATGGCTGGGTAACATTCCATTATATATATTAATATATATATATATAAATATACCCATATACCAAGGAACTGAAGCTTCTTGTCAATAGCAATGTAAGTATGCTTAGAAGCAGATCTCCCATGTAACAGGAGAACAAAATGGAAGCTACAGTGTCTATCATAACCCAATCTCATTAGACATTAACAACACTTTTGGCATCACATTGGGCCACATATACCAATCCTGCTATAATGTAAGAGGGACCACACAAGAGTATGAATACTAAGAGGCAGGGAACATTGGGTGCTACCTAGGAGACTGGGATAATATTTCTGAAGGTCCGTTTAGCAATATTTATCAAAATCTATAAAAACACATATTCCTTTTGACTCAGAAGTTCCACTTACAACAACTTACCCCAAGGAATTAATTAAAAGTATATATCATAATATATCTTTAAGGATATTTATTAGAGCTTTGTTTATAATAGTGAAAATTGAAAATAGATAAAGTAATCAACAGTGAGATTGTATAAATATATTATGGTAGGTCTTTATTATGGATACTATGTGTTGGTATTACAAATAATGTAGAATATTTGATGATGACAGAGGAAAATGCTAATGTGATTTGAGAAAAATCAGATAAAACATTTATTTATACTGTATCAAAGATTGTGTGTGTGTGTGTAGAAGCAAAACTGGAAGTTTTTACATAAAACAGGTGGTAGGAGGATGAATAATTATTTTCTTTAAGCTTCTTTGTATTTTCTAAGTTTTCTAAAAGCATTTATAATCAGAAAAAAAAAGAATCACTTTTTAAAAATATGACTGATCATGTACTGACCAGGAGGAGATAGAGCATCTAGAGTATAAAACATTCCAGGAAAGATTCTGTAGACCTGCTGGCTGTATTTTTCATGAGGACATGAGTATTTCTGTGGAGCCCCAAGTTTGGTCAAATATGTGGACTTTCTAATGTACATAGTGTTGAAAAAATATCACAAATGGATGGGACCCTATTTAGCAACCAGAGAGTTATCACTGTATGCTGAGGGTGATATTGGTCAGCATGAGATTTCAAGAAGATTCTTAGTTTTCATAGAAAACTTCTCCCTCAGTGGAATAGAACTTACAGCCCCAAAGCTGGTAAATGGCACAGCTGGAATTTGAAACCAGAATAACACAGTGTGTACTGGGGGTAGTAGTTAAAGCTTTTAAAGTGGGAATGATGTGATCAAAGATGTTTTAGTAAATACATTATTATTATCCAATTATTGTTATAAAAATTATTAAAATTTATCTTCTGGCCGTAAAAGTGGATTCAAATGAGAAAAATACAATGAAGCCCAAAGGGCTGAGGGACTTGGGAAAAATGAGGGTTAAGACATTAGACGTCAACTTGGAGTGATGAGCAGATGCACTAGAAGGGAGAAAAAGTCCAAAGATTAGGCTGCTGATTCCCTAGAAGAGAAGATTAGCATTCCAGATTTTGGAGGAGGGAATTGTTTATATTGGTGGTCTGAGTATTGAACTGGTAGGTGCCTGGTTAGAGATCAAGGTAACTTGGTCTTCGAGTAGAGAATACTGAAGAACTATGGTATCAAAATGTTAGAGTAGTCATTACCTGGGATGGAAATGGTTTAGAATGATTCTAAAGGGAAAATGCCAGGACAATTTATAAATCTCTCCAAATACATGGTGGGAGGATGAATAATAGAATTCATCACTCTGTGTTACTTGTGCATGTCTGCCACCTTAGCTAGACTGTCTACTCCAGGAAGCAAAGCCCATGACATTTTTTTTTCTTTTTTTGGTCTTTGCTTCTGCTATGTGTAGCAGAATATTCAGATACATCAAGGGTCTACCTTTTGGGCATGGCCTCATCCATCTCATTGAATATATATTGAAGTTTCCCATGTTCCAGGTATGCCTTTTTCCAATAAGAGGGAAATATACCTCCGAAGTAAACTTAGATGAAATATCCAACTCTGTTAGAGGATGCAAAACATGAACCTACTATCAGAATACAAGGGATTTACAACTGTCAGAATCAGAGCCGTGGCATTTACGTGTGTTTGTTGGCCATTTGTATACCCTCTTTGGAGAACTACCTTCTACCCAGATCCTTTGCTAATTTTTTAATTGGGTTATTTATCTTTTTATTATTGAGTTGTAAGAGTTCTTTATATATTCAGTATACACATCCCTTATCAGACATATGATTTGCAAATATTTTCTCCCATTTTGTAGGTTGCCTTTTTAGTTTTTGATGACATTGTAGCACAAAAGTTTTAAACTTTGATGTAGTATAATTTAGCTATTTTTCTTTTGTCATTGTACTTTTGGTGGAGTCGCTTACATTTTTTAATAGACTTTATTTTTTAGAGCCGCTCTAAGTTCACAGCAAAATTGAATGGAAAATACAAAGAGTTCTCATATACCCTATTTCCCTACACATGTACAACCTCCCCCACTATCGACATGCCCCATAGAGTGGTCATTTGTTACAGTTGATGAATCTACATTGACACATTATGACCCCAAATCTATAGTTTACATTAGGGTTCACGCATAGTGTTGTATATTTGGGTTTGGATGAATGTATAATGGCATTCATCTACCATTATAGTATCATGCAGAATTGTTTCACTGCCCTAAAAATTCTCTGTTCTCTGCCCATTCATCTTTCCCTTCCTTCTAACCTATGGCAATTGCTGATTTTTTTTTTTTTTACTATGTCCACAGTTTTGCCTTTTATAAAATGTCATGTAGTTGGAATCATACAATATGTAGCCTTTTCAGGTTGGCTTCTTTCACTTAGTAATATGCATTTAAGGTTCTGGAGCCCCTTGCATTTTTAACATCCGTATTTAGTTATATAGCTTCTAAAAAAAGTTTAAGGTTATTCAATACCTCTTTTTCCAGAGCAATATAAGGATTTTAGTACCCTTTAATTACCCCCTGAACACCTCTTCATATTTTTGTCAGGACTTTAGTTCTACACTTGAAAAAACAAATTTATATCATACTTGAGGAAGGATGTCTAGGTTTTATGGGCTAGTAAACAAGCTGGATGACACTGAGCAAGTTGCTTAACCTCCCTTTGTCTGTTTCCTTATCTTTAAAATGGACAAAATAATAGTATCCATTTCAAAGGGCTGTAGCAAGGATTAAAATGTAAATATATTGTCTTGTGGAAATTACTTTGATGAAATAATAGTCTCTAAGTATGCTCCTAGATAGACTATCATAGACTTCATGGAACAGAAAGGTTCACAGACCAAATAAAATGTTCAGATCACAGTTTATTTAATCAATTTCAAATATGAAGCAAAATGTATGGGAAGAGAGGTGGGCTAGGTAAACACACTTAAAGTGTAAGTGTGTTAAAGAGTCATAATACCTGAATCTCGGCAAAGTTGACATATCCTCTCTGTTGCATCACTCTTCCCTGTTGATGATGTGGTTACAAGGACCAGAGTGGAAATTTGAACAAGGGAGCCCAACATACTAAAGGTGTCTGAGGAAACGACACACACTTGCTCCATAAGAGAGCTTGTTGGCAAGTACGCTCGACCAATAGCTATGCTCCGCCTTTAACCTGACAGGCAGATACGCGTTTGATTTGGCTGAAAATCCAAAATCAGAGTTGGCAATAGGTGGCCAATTAAAGATCTCACAATTATTGTGTGTCTCAGGTGCTTCATTTATACTTAATGTGTCATAAGTATTTCTTGCTTCGTTTGTTATTTAGCAAATCATGACTATTAAATGCCTGTTTTTGCCCCTCTACCCCTTTCTATCTGTGTTCATCAATTTATGTTCTCCTTACTCTCTGTCTGATACTCCTCAGCTTACTAACTTACTTATCTATGGTTAATGCAGCTAATGCATTTTATCCATCCCATTTGTCTTCTTGTCTTCCAGAGCAGAACTGAATATTCCCAGACAATACAGCAATTGCACATTGTATGTAGAAATAACTCTATAAATGTTAGCTATTATTATTATTATATAAGATGGCTTTAATATTTTAATACTATCATCTAAGAATGAAGATTAGTAATCTAGTTAAACTTGATCAGATTAAACAACTAACTGAAAATCCTAATATTAAAGTTATTTGGCTTGATTTTGATCTGAAATAGATAATAAGGTGCACTTCATTAGTCAGAACTTTTTGCTATGAATTTAATTTATCCTCCCATCATTCCAGTTGTACAGATTATTGGCTGTTACTTACAAGGCTAGTACTACTTTTATTTTTTTTTCCTTTCCTACAGGCTTATCCTCAGTTTGTTCTGACCTACCTAGAGGAGCTAACTGCACAAGTGGATGTGACCCAGAGAGAGTATCACATTCACCACGGTGCCCGGACTACAACTCATCAGGAACATGGTAGCAGCTTAGCAGAAGAGGTCAGTGTAGTGAGCCAGAGGCAAGACAGAAATAGATCTCTAAAATGTATTTTTGAAAAGAGAAAATGTTCAAGTTGTTTGCAGGAGACAAGCACAAATTCACATCTTAATGATACCAATTGTTTAAAATCATACACATAATATAAATATCTATATGTACATTTGTATTTATATAAACATCTATATGTACTCATATAAACATTATTTTATTAAATAGTGGATATCCTTGTAGCTTTTGTTAGGACTGCTGCCTTATCTTCTGGCCGCATACAAATGATTTCTGTGCTGAATGAGGAAGAATGGAGGAACCCTGAAAAGTGTAATTTAAATTGGGGGCATATGTAGCTTAGATGTTTCCACTTAATGAAAATTAGCTACACTATTGTTCTATTTCATTTCTTAGGTCTTGCAAGAAAGTGCCAGCATCCCGGGTCTGAAGCAACTGCCAGAGCCTTCAGACACCCATTTAATGCCAGAAGGTTCTCTTGGGGAGACAAGGCAGCTGACAGTGGCACTGGTGAGGAAACTGGAAGAGAAACATCCTAAGGCTTCTGCTCAGAGGTAGGGCACTGACAGAACGGAGCTTTATTGCTCAATGACATTCGATGTTTTCCTTCAGTTTCATGTAAGATTGATTTCTGGGAGACTATTGAAATATCTCAAAAGCCCTTTGGCTTGCAAGCACTGTCGTTTTCGGGTCACATTTGATGAAGAGAGGTGACATTTATGTGTATTTCATTGAAGTTTGATGTATGGTATTGTTTATAAGTATACTTAGGAAGGGTTGCTGTCCTGGGATCTCACTAAAATACTCTGAAATAACATAATTAACGTGAGACTAAGCATATATCCAATTGTGAAGATACCAAGAGGTCTTTAAGAACATCAGACCCATATAGGCATTCCTTTTTGTGTTCCATGAAAAGATTATTATATTTAGACCTGAGGATAAATGCACTTTGGATGGTCTTAGGGAGTGGTAATTTAAAAATTGACATAATTTCTATAGAATAAAACTAACCAATGATTTTGCTAACCATTGAAAGTCATCCTTGGTTAGAAAATAGAAACTATTTCTCTGATCCTCTATTTAATTGGAAAATTAATATTTATGTATCTTATTAGTAGTAGTGTTATTATTTTGTTTGGTTTGATGTTATAAATCACAAAATGACATTACAAATTGCAATTTTAATATAATAATTGCTGACAATTAACTATTGACTGAAGTACTCTTAAAGGAATAATAAAATTCTTACTGTACTTTTTTTTATTATGTTATGTTAATCACCATACATTACATCATTAGTTTTTGATGTAGTGTTCCATGATTCATTGTTTGCATATAACACCCAGTGCTCCATGCAGTACGTACCCTCTTTAATATCCATCACCAGGCTAACCCATCCCCCCACCCCCTCCCCTCTAGACTCTCAGTTTGTTTCTCACAGTCCATAGTCTCTCATGGTTCGGCTCCCCCTCTGTTTCCCCCCCCTTCATTTTTCCCTTCCTGCCATCTTCTTCTTCTTTTTTTTTTAACATATAATGTATTATTGTTTCAGAGGTACAGGTCTGTGATTCAACAGTCTTACACAATTCACAGTGCTCACCATAGCACATACCTTCCCCAATGTCTATCACCCAGCCACCCATCCCTCCCACCCCCCCACCACTCCAGCAACCCTCAGTTTGTTTCCTGAGATTATGAATTCCTCATATCAGTGAGATCATATGATACATGTCTTTCTCTGGGATTGACTTATTTCGCTCAGCATAATACCCTCTAGTTCCATCCACGTTGTTGCAAATGGCAAGATTTCATTCCTTTTGATGGCTGCATAATATTCCATTGTACATATATACCACATCTTCTTTATCCATTCATCTGTCCATGGACATCTTGGCTCTTTCCATAGTTTGGCTATTGTGAACATTGCTGCTATAAACATCGGGGTGCACATACCCCTTCTGATCCCTACATTTGTATCTTTGGGGTAAATACCCAGTAGTGCAATTGCTGGGTCATAGGGCAGCTCTATTTTCAACTTTTTGAGGAACCTCCATATTGTTTTCCAGAGTGGCTTCACGAGCTTGCATTCCCACCAACAGTGTAGGAGGGTTCCCCTTTCTCCGCATCCCCACCAACATCTGTCGTTTCCTGACTTGTTAATTTTAGCCATTCTGACTGGTGTGAGGTGCTATCTCATTGAGGTTTTGATTTGGATTTCCCTGATGCTGAGTGATGTTGAGCACTTTTTCATGTGTCTGTTGGTCATTTGGATGTCTTCTTTGAAAAAATGTCTGTTCATGTCTTCTGCCCATTTCTTGATTGGATCATTTGTTCTTTGGGTATTGAGTTTGATAATTTCTTTATAGATTTTGGATATTAGTCCTTTATCTGATATGTCATTTGCAAATATCTTCTCCCATTCTGTCGGTTGTCTTTTGGTTTTATGGACTGTTCTTTTGCTGTGCAGAAGCTTTTTATCTTGATGAAGTCCCAATAGTTCATTTTTGCCCTTGTTCCCCTTGCCTTTGGCGATGTTTCTAGGAAGTTGCTGCAGCTGAGGTCGAAGAGGTTGCTGCCTGTGTTCTCCTTTAGGATTTTGTTGGACTCCTGTCTCACATTTAGGTCTTTCAACCATTTTGAGTCTATTTTTGTGTGTGGTGTAAGGAAATGGTCCAGTTTCATTCTTCTGCATGTGGCTGTCCAATTTTCCCAACACCATTTGTTGAAGAGACTTTTTCCCATTGGACATTCTTTCCTGCTTTGTCGAAGATTAGTTGACCATAGAGTTGAGGGTCCATTTCTGGGCTCTCTATTCTGTTCCATTGATCTATGTGTCTGTATTTGTGCCAGTACCATACTGTCTTGATGATGACAGCTTTGTAATAGAGCCTGAAGTCTGGAATTGTGATGCCGCCCGCTTTGCTTTTCTTTTTCAACATTCCTCTGGCTATTCGGGGTCTTTTCTGGTTCCATACAAATTTTAGGATTACTTGTTCCATTTCTTTGAAAAAAGTTGATGGTATTTTGATAGGGATTGCTTTAAATGTGTAGATTTCTCTAGGTAGCATTGACACCTTCACAATATTTGTTCTTCCAATCCATGAGCATGGAATGTTTTTCCATTTCTTTGTGTCTTCCTCAATTTCTTTCATGAGTATTTTATAGTTTTCTGAGTACAGATTCTTTGCCTCTATGGTTAGATTATTTCCTAGGTATCTTATGGTTTTGGGTGCATTTGTAAATGGGATCAACTCCTTAATTTCTCTTTCTTTTGTCTTGTTGTTGGTGGTGCATAGGAATGCCACTGATTTCTGTGCATTGATTTTATATCCTGCCACTTTACTGAATTCTTGCTGTACTTTTTAACATTTGAGAGAATTCCTAACTTGAAATATTCTAACTGTAGATAGAAATGTCAGTTGCATGAATAAAGAAAAAAATGACAACTTTTAATTTCTTTTTTAAGAACCTTTCCACTTTATAGAGGTAGAATTGACATATAACATTGTATAAGTTTAAGGTATGCAATATGACAGCTTTTTTTTCAATTAAAAGCTATCTTATATTCTTAAATTATATATATTCCTGCCTCAGATTTTAGCAGGAGGGGAACATTTTTTTTCCTGATAACAAAAGTGACTTTTCAATTTATTGTCTCTTTGTTATCTAAACCTCACTTTGGTTTTGTCGTTTTGGGTAGGATGGGGCACAGATAAACAAAAGAACAAATTTAGTACCTTGCTGTACCATAGTCCGGGACTGTCCCGGACCTGTACAAAAACTTGAGTTCTAGTTTCTTTTCTTGCTACTTGCTTTTTAGTCGTATATAAGATTCTCAATTCTCTAACACCCCACAACATGAACACAAAGCCACAGCTCTTCAGCCAGGCCCCTCTGTTCAGGTCACTAGAATGGCAGGGCCTAGGGAGCCATCTTTAAAGTTTTCATGTAAAACAGGAACTCAGGGAAAACTGGGCCACTGAGTAACTTAAATACAGTTTTATGAGACTGCTGTTGGCCTTTCTAGACTCACTAGGCAGGCATTTCTACTCTATGCTTTTCACTAGGCAGCCATTTATACTCTACAATTTTTGAGAGCATGAGGGGGCTTGTCATTATCGTGGGTTCGATTCAAGGAGGCACAGGTTCCTGCTGCTCCCGGATTTCTGAAACCTGTACGGGACTTCCGTGTTTATCTCCTACTGGCCCTGGTCCTGGTGGGTCAGTGTGCGGGGACTCCAGTGATAACTCACCTAATTCCCTATGACTCCGTCCTTCCCCAGCCTGGAAATATTTTCTCTGAGGGTCGAGGACATTGGGTGGTTGAGGGATTTGTCTTCTGTATTTTGTGGTTGTATCTCTTCTGAAGCAGTACAGTCTAATGATGGAATATTGGGAGAAAGGCATATATTATTAGGGAATGTGAGGCAAAAAATCCCCACAATACAAACAAAAAAAACAAACAACAAAGCAGTTAACATCAGTTAACATAACATAATACTTGTTTGAGTTGTTAGAATTACGTCTTTAAATTTCCAGGAATGTAGTAAGCACTCAATGAGTAGTCTGTGAAAATGTGCTGAAAACAAGTGGAGTCAAAAGCAGTTTTTAATCAGGGCTGTGGTTAGATTTGTGATTTTTAGTCAATAGAGATTGACTAAACACTTTTGGGATTTTATTTCATAAGAAAATTCCCAGGGCCCTCATCTTAGTGAGCATCCCTCAGGATTTGCGTTGCAGGCTACAGCAACTCTTCTAGTCCTCTTTTTTTTTTTTTTCCTTAAAGCCACGGGGATTTATCTTCATTCTCCTCTCCAGCCCCGCAATTTACCATAATAGATGTAATTTCAGTTTCTCCCCTTCTTTCTGTTCCTTAACAAAGTTATTTTGAGTAGAGAGCAAGTACTTAGAGCAATTACTTTCCTCCCGTTTTGGAAGGAATTGTTGGGTGAAATTAGAATATGGTACTGAATTTGGCATATTGATTACTTTGAACCTTAGGTTGTCTTGTTAGGTTTACATGCAGTCCAAATATAAGAGAATTGGTGCATTATATTATCACAGCTTTAAGAGAGGACTTTACATTTGCTTGCTTTTATCAATGGTAATTTCACAAAATATAGAATAAAATCATTATAAAAAATAAAGGAATACTGTGAAATGATCTGAGTTGTGGAAATTGGAGAAAGAGAGTTTTAGAGCAAAAACCATTAATGAGCAAAAAATCTGGAGAAAGAATATATAATTGAAAAGAATAAAAAGATACAGAGATATAAATCCTTAGAAGTAGCCAAAGAAAGAGAGAACCACAAGTAGCCAAATTTGGGGAAAGACAGAGAGATTGGTAGTTAGTAGCAGGTTATATGTGAAAATGAAAGATAACATTCAATTTTTAATGACATATACTGACTTTGCTTAAGTGCTTTATGTGCATTATTGCCTAATAACCTATGTTGTATGTAAAATAGAGGTATTCATCTCTCTTTTACTGGTAAGGAAATTGAGGCACAGAGAGATTAAGCTACTCTGCTAAAGGTCTTCCAGGTAGTAA